GGTCGAACCGCGCATATGTTCGCACGCCGTGGCGAACGCGAACATGCTATGTTCGCCAGGAACCGTTCGCCGGCGAACCGTTCGGTACATCACTATTCCCTATACTCAATTTCTCAGAGTTCTCAGAAACAATTCTGAAGCCAAAAGAGCAGAGACACAACTGAAAGAAATGTATAATCAATTTCTGAAAAGGGGATATTCACCATCCTTATTAACTATGCAACTAAATAAAGCCAAACAAGAGATTATTCAACCCGAAAATTTGCCAGTGGGATATAAGCCTAAGATGCTTCAAGACTAACATGTAGTATTTAATACATTACAGCATCAGAAATTTCCACCAAGATAATTAAATGGCACTGGAAGATCTTATCAAGTGATAAGACTATACCACATGTTTTTAAACAATCTCCAAGGTTCAGCTTTTTTAGGGGACGTATATCAGTGACATGGTTGTCTCTACAGACCCTAAACACTGTAAAGAATAAAATTGGCTCAAAACCAGCTTTGTAAAACCAGAATGCTGTAAGTGCACAGGATGTGTCCAATCCAAAGTATTTTCACATCCACATAAAAATAAACTTTTTGAAATTAAACAACATATTGCCTGTCTATCTGACCATGTGGTGTATAAGATCACCTGTCTTTGTGGACTACACTACATAGGTAAAACTGATTTGACACTCAGTGACCAAATAAGGGTTCACCGTTTAGCCATAAACACAGCATACCAGGATGGTACCATTGACAAACTGGTGGCAAGACATTTTTTACAAATGGGACATTCACTGACCACTCTAAAGTTAATAGGTATTGATATGGTACCACTGTTGGCTAGAGATAGTGACAGAGCTCGACTCTTCTTCAGCGGGAAGCATTCTGGGTAAAAACTGTGGCTCCTAATGAACTAAATTAATATATTTCATTTTTGCCTTTTCTACATAGCCATTAGATTTAAATTTAAATTCAATTCTGCCTATACATAAGAGTTTACTTTTTCTGTTTATCTCTTCTTTTATTGTTTTATAATATTAAAGGCATTGTTTACATTCTGCAATATTATAATGTGGTTGTTCTCATTGTGGATGTATGTTGTGTACAGGTATTCGTTGCTTACTTTTTACTTTGGTTCTCTGCATGTAAATCACCTTGGCTGTAATAGTTTTCTTTACTTAGAATTTACATTATTGCTAAGTGCTTTTTTTGCACTACTTGGCTACATTGTTTCTTTAAATTGGCTAAATTTATGAAATGTAAAAAAAAAAAAATCAAATTAATAATAATTTGATACCACCAATGTGAAAGTATATACATGCTCCAGTTCTCCTACGTACTTTTTTCTCTTTAGGTATCTCACCTTTGTATTTTAATGAGCATTAGGGTTAATGGTGCTGGGTTATTATGCATCACATTTAAATTTATTGTTACAAAGTGGGACATTATTTTTCTCGCTAGTGGTTTCTAGTGGGAAGCTTTTTGGTGTAAAACACTGCAAGCTGATGCATTACATGGAAGCACCATGTCCACGGCACTACTATTCTTGCTAGTGGTTTCCAGTGGGAAGCTTTTTTGTGTCACACACTGCAAAGGGATGCGTTTTATGGATGGGCCATGGTGAGTTCCTGGTTTTAGCTTTCACTGTGGTGGGACATTAGCACGTAGAGTGCGTTTATCGATTAATTGTT